GGTAGTTGGTTAACTTTAATCACTAGTTATATACAATCAAAGGCGGATATGAATTTGAGATAACAAATATATATTAAAAAGAAATGAGGAACTTTAGTGGGCGTCAGGCAACGATGGAATCCATGGGTTCAAATTCAAGACTCGCCCAATAATTACACAGATACCTAATGGCAGCAAGAATCTCCGATTAAATGATAAAGGGAAAAACAACTTTTTTTTCACTTGAAAGTAATTACAGACCTATGATGTGCCTGCCTATAGCCTGAAAGTATTCACATGAGAACTTACAAAACAGATATACTACTCGTTAGATAGTCGATAGTTTCTACATGAAGAACAACAGACTATAAATAGAGGAATAAAGGACTTATTATTCATAGACCAACTGAAATGTCCAATTAGAAAGTTATTAGGGCGTTGACCTGGAAAGAGAACTACAAGGGTAAAAATTGATCGAAACAGAATCAAATAAGCAAGATGAAATGATAAAAAATGTCAGGAAAAAATGATAAATACACTTGTACACAAAAGTATTTGGCCCTAAGATTATTTTCTTATTTTTTCTCATTATTCATCTCAATTTCTATTTAATGGCATTTATCTCGTCAATTGGCAAGGGTAAACGAGTTTAATTTGATTAGAGATAATTAATATTACTTAAAATAGCAAGAATAACAGCATTCAACTTCAATCAAAAATAAAATTGGCAGTAAATTGATCCATTCTCCCACATGTTGAGATACTCAACATCACTTTATAAGGCTTAAATAAATTTATTTTTTAAATTACACATTCATTCATTCTTCAAATCATGTTAAAAATCAGAGATTATTCAGAGAGCCTAACAAAGAAATTAAGTGGAGGCTTTAAGAAAATTAGAAAGCGATTTGAGATATCCTCATTCCATTGGTTAACTACGCTTACAAGATCGCGATGTCTGAGGAATATTTTCAATATAAGGACGAACGAATTTTCAGTCAACCCCAGATCGAGTGAAAGTAATATCCAGATAGATCTGACGGAGGCTGGAACAGATATGCACATTTTCATTAGTCGAACATTCAACCGACAAAGATTACACGAACGGATTGTATGCAAAAAAAGACAAAAAACAAAAACAAAACAAAAACAAAACAGAAACACTACTTTAGAAAACACATAAAATGGTTCGTTTAGCACGCGCTAAAAAGTTTTTGAATCAATCGAATGATTATTGGAATAGAATTGTTGTGTGAGATTCACACCATAAAGTACCAACTCGTCTGAACTGAATTTAATGTCAGCGAGGAAAATTTGTTCTAAGAGGAGTTGATCTGTGGTTACCCAATATGTACTGAACTCACCTTAAGAAATTAGACTTTACACTCAGAGCGTCAAAGAAGCTAGGGGCATCAGAGGGTTAATCTGGAAGTTGTCTTCGTAGTCATTAGGTGCAGACTCGTGCGTCAAAGGATATCAGTTGCTACCTCTGACATGTAAGAACAGCTGGATGATATGAAGATATATAAGCTTCCCGATCAAGAGGAAAAAGGCAGTCTCTTACATCCTCACGAGAAAGAGATCCACGTTTGAAGACACCCTAATCCATACATCCTCACACCGATATTGGCGAAGTCCAAAAGTAAATAAACGACAAATTTGCGTATGAGTGATTTAGTCACGTGTTTTTATTAGTCTTTGCCGCAATAATGTTACGTTACGTTACACACACGCGCGCGCGCACACACAGACACACACATACACATGGATCCGCGTTTGAAGAAAGAACTCAAAGCCACACACCTTTACACCAACGGAATATATTGTAATTTTAAGTATGAAAGATTTAGTTTTTGTTCTTATTAGTCTTTGCAACAATAACATTAGATACACGCGCGTGCGTGCGCACACAAGCACACAAACACACACACACATACACACAGAGACCCACATTCGAAGAAAGATATCAAAGCTACACTCCCTTACGCTAATGAAATATATAATGATTTTATGTATGAAAGATTTGATCTTGTGTTCTCATAAGTCTTTACAACGATAATGTTACACGGTTATTTGATCAGATAATACAAAATTTGAACTTTTAGGATATAAACGGCAAGGTTACATTTTTTTACAATAATGTTCACCTTGTATGATGCCCAAGACCCACTCGTGCTAGATGGTTACTGAGTAAAAAGTAAGGAGTACACTTTATGAGGATATGTGGCGAAGATAACTGTCAACCCTAAACTTGAACAGGTTAAGATTGTATTGATGAGAGAAGCCTCCACATGGGTGTCAGTTTCAAAAAGTAGTGGTTCGTGAAACTTTTGGAGAGAAGTCGTCAGCATTGAGAATGGTTCTGACTGCTATTAACTTAATAGACTTGATAACTACATAAGATACAATATTAATTACGGTATGGTTAATTATGAATTATGATTAATTTTCATAATTAAAAGTTGAAGTAGAACTGACAGAAGTACAAATACAGGGTCAAAAAAGCTTTGAAACGAGAAAACAAAAATGGACATTTCAAGAAGCAAACAAAAGTAACTGAAGATACGATATGTATATTTTTCACGGATTTGAACTGAGAAATCAAATTTCTTTTAATGGCAACTGAAAGCATTTATATAAGTACCAATATATTTAAGCCAAGATGGACAGGCACAACGTAAATATAGGCTATGCAGAGATAAGGGTTGAGACCATTAATCATACAAGCGAATGCAACAATTTGGCTCATAAGGAGGACAAAAATAGGCACTAATGGATATGAGGATGATCCAATGGGGAATATGCAAGCGGCTGGCAGACTAGTCAAAAAGACGTGCTCTAATCATATTAAACACGGAGAATAAATTCTGTCAAAGAACGAATGTCGCTGTTCCAGCAAAGGAAAGAATAGAATTGAAAGAAAGTGAAAAGCTGAGAAATATTTCTGAACCTAGCCAGAGAAATAAAAAAAAGATGTTTAAAATGAAGACGTCATTTCTGCCCATTATTATTGGCGCACTTGGAAGGTTTCTGAAGAGCCAAGCAAAAAAGGGATGTTGGAGGAAATAAAAATACATGGAAGAATATTAACCGACCAAACAGCATTACTAAAAACAGCTGTTGGATGATTTAGAAAAGTTGCTGTCACTTGGTTTCCAGGATAAGCCACTAGTTATTATTTGTGTTAACACTGTGAGTGAAAATAATAATAATAATAATTTATTAAAACCTGTCAGCTTATCACACACATTTGGCTGTAGTACATGTCCCTTGTATACCCTTAGTAGACTGGGTGTTATGACGGGTGTATTGAACTTCCTATACTCAGGGTTTTATTTTGGCATACTGCTCTATCATTCTATAATAACAACAATAACAACAACAACAACAATAATAATAATAATAATAATATTAAATACCCTGCTTCTACACCAAACATAGCTCTTATGACTCCTGATTGTTTGTGTTAACATGTAAGTTTTGCATTAGTAAATTAAGATGGGCTACAATAAATATCTCATTCAATACCACATAGTTGCTTGTTAATTATCTGACTAACCTAACCAGTTGGGCATGCTTGTTGGAGCCTGACGAACTGTGAGCAGGAATAGTGGGAGAGCATCATAGCCACGTGTCGAGATTTTGTTTGAAGGATATGAAGCAGCCACTGTGACCTGGGAGTAACTCAGCACCCTCAGTCATAGACCGTATGGGTTACCCTTCTAACACAGTGCCAACTGTAACGTTATTCGCTACTTTTATAAAAACCTGTCATCATATCGTGCCAATTTGATTCTGATGCATGTGCTTGGTATGCCCAACGAGTTTCACTGTCATGAATTGTTATATTGGGCTTTGTAATTTTGTATTTTAGTGTCACTTTGTTGGTGTGCTGCTCTCTCACCCACTAATAATAATAAGACCCACTTATGGGTTAAATAGCAGGACAGATTGGATCTTATAACATTGGCTGGCAACCAGTCAACTGCAGAAACTAACGGCAGCCTACTGCGGGAATTCTTCTATCAAGTTAATCATGAATAGAAAATAGACATGATCACCCAAGCGTGAATCATACATAGCGTCTAAGGAAGAAAGGGATAATAATAATAATAATAATAATAATAATAATAATAATAAGAAGAAGAAGAAGAAGAAGAAGTTCTCAACGTGACAACCAGATACTACTAGTGTGTAACAAAGGAATTTTTAATAGTAATTTGGAAAAAAAACGAAGATAAAAAAATAAAAAAAATATGAAGATAATGAAAAATAGTAATAAAAAAAGATAGTATTATTACTAATCACATTATATAGAATAATAATAATAACAATAATAATAGTAGTGCTGGTTAATCGTGCAAGTCACATATGAAGTTTTCTATTGCCATGACTGTTAATAATAATGTGATGGTAATAATAATAATTGTATCTTATTGTTTACTACTATTCTTTATTGCTACTCATGATGATACCACAGGAAATCACAGTACTACTAATAAAAATTACATTTGCGCTCCTACTACCATTACTACTACTACTAGTGATAGTGGTGGTAACTGAAATATTTTGCCCGCCTGTTTCACAAAAAGTCAGTAAATGATTTTTTTATTTGTTTATTTGTGTTTTCATTGATAGTCAGGTGCGAATACAGGTAACCACAAAGCAAGGAAAATTAAAGATATTTCAATATGAGTGGGGAAGAAATGTAGATTATTGGATATGAAAAAATGAGTGAGTGAGTGGTTGGTTAGAAATCAGTGAAGAGAGAAATATAAAGTAAACAAAAACAAATTATATATATATATGTGTGTGTGTGTGTGTGTGTGAGTGAGAGAGAGAGAGAGAGGAGTGTGGGTGTCAAAGGAAGGGATTTAGTAGTTAAAAGGAAAATAAAGAAGGAAAAGTTGGGCCGTGAGTGTGACGAATTAATGAATGAGTAATAGGTAGGATGAAAGGATGGGGAGAAAAATGAAAAGAAAGGGGAAGAACGCGTTATATTAAAGAAAAGGATTTATTTTTCATATTTGGGTAAAAGCAGACGGAGCGTTTAAGTCTAGTTGACAGTATATAGATTCGGACATCAGCTGAGGAGACGACAGAAAGAAAGAAAGAAAGAAAGAAAGAAAGAAAGAAAGAAAGGAAGAAAAGGGACTCATGGAAAGTAAATGTTCAGAAATACTTAAGGAAATGTTAAAATGTTGTTGAAACGTAAAATTGTCTAAAAGCAAACAACAGAAAGAAGGGAATGCGAACAGAAGAAGGAACACGAAAAGAAGACAGCAAAAGACGGAAGAGAACAAAAAAGGCATACAAAAAGAAGAAAATGACTGGAATTGATAGAAGGAATGTCATGTAAAAATTTTGAAGAAGTTTAAAAAAAAAAAAAGAAGGAAAAAACCCTCCTTTTATCAAAACGGCCAAATAAATAACGGAATAACGGAAAATGTTTAAAACTGAATTATAAATATTGACTTGAAAATTTGATATTGGATACAGGGAATCAATACAGTTAAAGAAAAAGAAAAAAGAGAAAACGTTATTCGCCAAGGGATTCCGTACAAAATTCCTGCAGTGATTCGTTCACGCACAAATGCAAAAGAATACAAGTAGAAAGACAGTAAAAGAAAAGAAGAAAGAAAATATATTAAGTTCCCAACGTCTAAAGAAAAAAAGAAAAAAAGAAGAAACATTATGGATACGCATGCATATGAGGGAAAGGAGGCGGGTAGAAATATACTTTTAAAGAAAAAAGTGAAAGAAACTAAATAAGGAGGATACGTGGAGGCTAACATTGTAGGAGGAAAAGGAAAAGTGTGCGTGGGGAGAGAGAGAGAGAGAGAGAGAGAGAGAGAGAGAGAACATAATAGAAGAAGACTATAATATGAGAGAAGGGGGTTGCTAGGGAGGGCTTTTTTAAAGCTCTGAAGATACTAGCTACCCCCTCTACTATCTTGCAAAGGGAAATAGTCTGATTGGTATTTTGGGATCACACAAGGATTTTTTTTATTTTCTTAAAAGAAGCAAAATAACAAAGTTTTTTTCGTTTTGTTTAAAAAAAATAGAGGCACCAGAAAGAAATGCAACATTGACAATGTAAAAAAAAAGAAAAGAAAAATTCATATACCCAAGAAAATTACAGAAAACAGCAAAACCAAAGGAAAAGAATTTTAAAACAGATTTTTATTATTTTATTGTAAAAATTACATTAAATTCGAGGCTTTTGAATTCACTAAAAAGAAACAGCTAAGAAAAAAAGTAAAATTGTATACATGCTATGTAAATATATCAATATATACACACATATTTATATATATTTAAAACAAACTGACATACAAGCATTTCCATAGAACAGGAGGAATTATTTTATCAATCACGGTCAAAAGTGGAATATGGAAAACACAAAAAAAGCTATTAAGGAGAAATTAAAGTGGCGTGGCTATGTAATTACCCTGGGTGGGATGATGGTACATATGACCCTTGGATCGATGTATACTTTCGGTAAGTTTTCTTTCTTTCTTTCTTTCTTTCTTTCTTTCTTTCTTTTATTGCTTGCATATCAATTATACATAGATCATCTCAATTAGTGAATCGATCTCTCTATCTCAGTCTCTATCTATTCGGGTTTACTAAGTGGCTGAAACCGTATTGACATTGTCTTACCTACACCACCGGTTAGTGTTCAAGACCAGAGCAATAATCCGATAATTCGAACACTGGAAAGATTGTTCTCCAAATTCAGAAGATTAACTCTAGGTCATCTTATTTTTTTATTCCATGTTGTATATTCGTGTTTTCATAAAATCTGTTTTAGGCAAGTGTTTAGAATATTTTAGTTACGTTCATGTTAATATTTAAATCGATAATTTCTTTAGCGGTAGAAACCTGTTTCGGTTCAACTATTGATATGTGGAAGTATGTTGGCTGCACGTCAAGACATTTGATTCTGTGAAGTCTATGTGCGTCAAAATATTACATAGGTTAATATTTTGTAATATAAAAGACAGGACGCAGCAATACTTCCCTATGTCTATCATTTATCTTTGGGTTTGTTTAGTGGCTGAGAGGATTGTATGTTTACTTACAACGGTGTTCGAGTTCTGATAACAACAAATATTTCGAATTAAGTTTTACATAGATTCTATTTATTGAAGAAATAAGCGCAACATAATAATCCCAATAGGTACGTTATTTGTAAATTATGCAATATTTAAGCAGAATAAATAAATATTATTTATCTGTGAATTCCAATCAGATTGCACCCTGTTTGTTTAATGACCCATAATTTTATAGCTAATGTCATTTGTACATTTATTAATTTTTTATTTTACGTTTTTATGAGTTGTAAATTATGCCTGATTGCAGTTCACATTAACATGAATCGTCGCGGCTTTCTGACGTACATGGATATACAGGCATTTCCCGGCCCTTCTGTATACAGTTTTACAGACACACAATAACACGCGCACGCGCATGCGCACACACACACATATATGTATGTATGTATGTATGTATGTATACACACTACATGTTAAAAAATACACACACAAAAATATATATATATATATATATATATATATATATATATATATATATATATATATATATATATATATATATATATATACTACAATTCGCCATAAATTGTTTTTGAAATGGCTTTTGGTCAAGAGCTTATTGGTGTTCCTTTGCATCTTTCATATATATATATATATATATATATATATATATATATATATATATATATATATAGATAGATAGATAGATAGATATGGAGAGAGAGACTGATAGAGACAGGCGAGAGTAATTCATATGTATGTCTTTGTGTAAATATGCGGCAAGTATATATATATATATATATATATATATATATATATATATATATATATTGTTGGTGGAAGAGATCATGTACTCGCATATACAAATGCAAATGTTCATCACACATCTAGAGATAAGAATCTGTAAAAATTTCCATGTTAACCTCTACGAATGCTGCATGTGTAAGTTTATCTGAACACACAATCCACTAATAGATTTGAATATGGACATTCTTAATTTTTTGTGATTAGAATTTATTGTACTAAATAATGAATATGTTTGTTGCTATTTTTAAAATAATTTAAAAATTAAGGCAATGCGGCCAAAATTTGTTTATCGCTTTGGATAGAAATGAAGAACGATAAAAAAATGCACCCCTTCATGCATCTAGTAAATGAAGACAAAAATGTCAAACCTATCTATCTATCTCTCTCTCTCTCTCTCTATATATATATATATATATATATATATATATATATATATATAGGGTGGGGTATCCCATCCGCGTTTTTGTAATTTTTTTCTTTTGACCTGATCTTTTTCATTCCATTATAAATTTGAAAGTAAGGCCTATTCTTCTCTTTTCCCTTCTTTTTCTGGTAAATTTGTAATACTTTTATCACATTTAATTATTTTTAAGCATTTCACCCCAAGCAAGTCGCGAGTGCCACTAGCACGCAACGCAAAGGGTTACAGAGAGTGAAAGTAAGAGAAAAGAGGGTGCGTTTGAGGAAAGGATAAAGAGAAGGACGTGGATCAATATGAAGGCATCAGGAAATGTTGATTGACATTACATATTTGAAGATTATAGTTATCAGGGAAGCAAGTAAGAGGAAGGGAGTTCCACTGTCGGGAAGTGCGAGAGAAGAAGCTGTTGGAGTAGAAGAGGCGGTTACATTTAACTGTTTCGACAGTAAAAGGGTGTGACCGAGATGCCAATCTAGTAGCATGCTTAAATTCATGCAGTTGGGACACCAGTGAAAATAGCTCGTCAGAGCAGTTGCCATGAAAATATTTGTAGAAAAGACAAAGGGAAGCCACATTACGTCTGTGAGAAAGTGACTGGTGTCGAGATGCCAGGTCAGGACCAATCACATTGCATATTCGTCTTTGGATTTTGTCGAGAACCTCGCGATGAACAGCGGTGGCACCTCGAGTTAGTGGAAAATGTGAGACCAAGAAGGCGCAGGAAGACGCTCTTGTTAAGTTGAGCATCAGCCATGATGATAGGAGGCAGGGAGGTTTCTTTTTAGAGGCATTAAAATTTACAAGCCATTTCCTGCTCCAGTCAACCATAGATTGGAGGTCCTTTTCCAGACCAACAATCAAGTTAACGTTGTCAGCAATGCCGGATTTACTATTGAGTAAACGGTAGTGTCGTCTGCGTATATGCCTACTTGAGAACTGATGACATCAGGCAGATCGTTGATGAAGATCAGAAACAGTGTAGGACCCTGGATAGAGCATTGGGGAACACCAGCATAGGAGAACCCCTTTAGGAAAACCTTCATTTCACAGTTTGACAGGAATGATTAGATTAAGTCAAATAATCATCCTGTAATACCGTGCCCCTGAAGGCCGGCATGCCAAACCCTATCAAACGCCTTAAAGATATCTAGAGCCACCGCTCGAGCTACACCGTTATTATCAAGAGCTTGGTATACAAATTCAGTTATGGCGGTAAGCACGTCAGCGGTAGATCAGGCAAAGCGGAAACCATGTTGTTTGTCAGATAGTAGATCATGAGAGGTAAGGCGCTTAAACATTTTGGCATTGATTGAAATCTCGAAGACTTTGACAAAGGTTGGTAGGAGACGGATAGGACGGTAGTTAGATGGGTCAGAAGGGTATCCAGAGTTTTTAAAAAACGGGGACAACAGATGAAGTCACCCAAGCAAGAGTCAGCGAGGCAAATAATTTGGAGAGAACTGGAACCAGTTCAGAAGCACATTTATTTAGGACTACGGCTGGTGTCCTGTGACCACCACTTACTTTATGAGAGTCTAATTTAGAGATGATGTTCAATACCATTGACGGGGTTATGCTCATCTCAATCAATAGAGCCTCAGTTCTAGGGAGGGGGGAATCAGGTGTGGGTACTGCGGACGAGTCTAGTGTTAAGTTGGATGAGAATTTCCGAGCAAAGCATTCAGCCTTATCAGCTGTGGAAGTTAGGACTTCGAATTGATTGAATATAGGAGGGATTGTGGCTTTTCTTTTGTTCAGCACACTTTTTAGAACCAAACTTGCGAGATGCAATACGTTGTTTCATTTTATCAGCAAATAGTAACTTCGCTTCATTCAGGACACGCTTGCACTCATTACGAGCAGAGACAAAGAGACGTCTATTGCAATCAGACATGTCACTCCGATACAGACGGAAGAAGTAATTCCTATGGGCTATAGCAGTTAACCTAGCAGTTGAGAACCAAAGTGATGAGCGCAATTTAACTTTATATTTTTTTGCTGAGATGAAAGCCTCGATGTCGGCTTTTACCCAGGAAGACACCTCAGACACACATTTTTGAACGAGATGATTAAAAACCACATTCCAAGGGAAGTCTCAAAGGGAATCACGGAACCAGTCAAAGTCTGCGCGTTAATAACAGAAAGATATTCTGTTAGTAGGAGGTTCATGACTGGAGATCGAGTGGAAGGAGATGTTAATAGACACTACGGCGTGATCAGCGGTGCCACGAGGGCAGAGCTGCGGAGCGCGACTAGAGTCAGGGATGGAGGTAAAACAGGGATCGAGAAGGGAAGCGTTACTCTCAGGGTTACTGGGGAAACCTATAGGAAATCAACAACTTGTGTGAGTGATTAAGTGATTGAAAAGTTAAGGATTTTGATGCCAGCGAGGTCAGTTACAGAGTGTTTAAGCCACATGGTATGGTGGGCGTTAAAGTCACCGAACACGAATATGTGTGCAAACGGATGTAAAGAAATGGCCTTGTCTATATTATCGGAAATGCTATCGAGTACACCACAGTTTTCAGAAGAAGAGGAACGATAGAGAAAGAAGAGGTAGCTTACTGAATTGAGGGTTATTTACTTTTTTTCTGCTGCAATTGTTACATCAGTTTAGTTGAATGTGAGAGAACCTTTCAACAAGGCGTGTTATTAAGTATTCCGTAATTTTGCAATAACGACTTGAAACATCCACATATTGAATTCTCCTCTATGTTGATTCAACGCACATTTTTCCCCGCTCACGAGGTATTTTCCAATCTGAACATTCCTAGATTAATTTCGAAAGCGCATATTGTCGGAGTTTTTGCTACCAGTACCAATAATAAGAAGAAATAAAAACAGGACACTCACTGATAAACCAGTTCTGTATAGCTGGCCACTCGTATTCGAGCATACCCATCTACTAGGGCGACTAACCAACCCCTATTGCAGACGCTTGCTCAGGCGCATTTATGTTTATTCAACACCTACAGAGCCCACCTGTGGTTTATATTGCAACTATGCTGAGCAGACCTTAGTTACAGTTTCTGGGAAAGATTCGAAAACGGGTCTCATGGTCAGAATGCGAACGTCCTAACCGCTCGGCCCATATAAACCAGTTCTAATGATATGAGGAAGACACCCTGTTTTTGAGATCCACAGAAATGTATCTTTGTAATCATAATTTAATTACGAACTAAGCTATAAAGACAAGAATTACTTATTTGTCTCCAGAAACTTAGTTCTAAAGATTTGATAGAATGTGCTTGCATTAGACCATAACAAAATAAATAGGAATTGAACATATTGTATTATCTAGGAGTACGCAACGTTTAATATAAAATGACAGATCTTACACGTTTAGTTAATGTTATTTCAATAAAACTA